TATTTTTCAGGTAAAGCTTTTGCCCAAAATCCAGGTTTGTTAGTTAAATCTGGGCAGGCATATCGAGGTAATTCAGCTGCATTGATTTGTGATGGGTCGTGGGAGGTAAAACCAAATCTTAGTACCCCACTCCAACTGGTCGAGACTTCGGCAAACCGGAGAAACACCCTTTCCCCGACTGAAATTGATCGATTGCTGAATGATATTCCATTGCAAAAGGTTTCTAATCGTTTGGCACATCTCTGATCTGATGAAAGTTGGATGTTAGTGCTGTGTGTTGGGTGAAATAATAACGGCCAGCCTTTCATTGTCTGCATTGAATTCTGCGAATCCGTGTTGGCTCCTGTTGTAGATGTTAATTTTTTCAGTCTTTTCAGCATTTTAGCCATTTTTATTTAGTTTTTTTTTGTCACATCGGCTAACTAATAAAATTTATTTTAAAAATAATTATCACACAAAGGATAGGCGTAATTTGTAATTAGGACAATTCTTATTTTATAAATTTATTTTTCATTTTTAAATTAAATTTAATTAAGTGAGTTTTTTCCCAAATTGAATATTATTTAATTTTAATAATTTAATTTTCAATATAAATAAATTTTTGAAAAAGTACCTGTCTGGTTACTGTTCCCCATTTAAACGATTATTTTAATAAAAAAAATTAACAAAATTATGTTAAAATGTGCAATTTGTTGCCAAAAACTTCATTATTCCTGACTTTAAAAACGTAAAATTCGCATTTTAAAATAAAAAATAATAATAATTAAAAGTGAAAAAGGTCAAAGATGTGGCACAGGAGTATATTTATAATCTTTGAGTGATTTTTTTCATTCAACTTTACCCATTACCAATATACTTTTAACTATTTTCATCAAAAAAATACACTAAAAATGTATTTTAAACTCTAGTTTAATAATTTACAAATTAATTTAATAAATTAAATATAATTTCGAAAATAATTTTACACTGGTTGAAGTCTTTAATAAGATTATAATGTAAAAATATGAAAGATTAAGAATTAAAAATGTAGAGAGTAGAGAAACTTAACAAATGTCTTAGTAAATTATTTTTTAGTTATTTAATTCGATCCGTTGTTTAGATAAAACGATCATTTATTCAACACTAATTCCAGATAAATGGAAAAAAATTAGTGTGCATCAGAATGGAATACGAAAAATGAACTCTAATATGATATCAGTTTTGACCTAAAAACTTACTTTACCATATTGTAAAATGCACGGATAACCCTGATAAAATGTCCACCCTTTACAATCAGCATAATAAAACAAATAATTAACAATATTCATATTTATGACTTAGGTTCATGTCATTTTGTCTCGACACTAATAAAGACCTTTCTTTCTGCAATCTGATAGACTGATAAATTTAAAAATGGGCATAATTTCATATTTCCAAATAAATCTCCGACTCAGACCTGACATGTGATAATGAAACTTCCTACGTCCCAACTGTTCTATCATTCAGACACTTTTTGTCATTACATTAACATTTTTTGAAAATTGGAGTGCCTATGTCTGTGGCCCAAACGTATATGTATCCAAATGATTTTCATTTTGCTTGCTTGTTGGAAGACTGTGTTGTGCTGTATCGTTTGCATTTTTTGCTAAAACACCGATGTATCCCAGTACTCTATGCCATAGCCTGGATGAATAATAATAATCTGTTTAGCATTCTTCGGCTGCTCATTAAACAATATTTGCGAAATATGAGAATTTTTTGTGGTCCTTTATATGAAGGTTATTTCAAATTTTTAAATCCAAATTTAAGTTTTTTAACTGACTCGACCAAAAAAGTAATGAAAATGGCTAAAATGCTGAAAAGACTTCTAAAGATCATCATTTTTCTTTCATTTAGTTTTATTTTATTGATATTTAAGATGGTTTCAATTTAAACTAATCGCTTGGAGCATTACCATACGTAATAATCACCATCCAAACATTGATATAGCCATTATCGTCATCGTTATGTTATCATCATTCTCATTATCTTTTTCATGTTGTAAAAATTAGTTTTGGTTTTAAAATCAGCAGAAAAATGGTTTCTGGTTATTTTTAAGAATGGCCATGCTTGTAAAAATTTACAGGATTCTCTTTCATTACGTGCAGCATTATTCATAATGATGATCTGCTTTACATATTGACGATGATGACGACGAAGATGAAGATGACGACGATGATGAAGATGAAGATGACGATAATGATGAAGACGAAGATGACGACGATGATGAAGATAATGACGATTAGGAAGATGAAGATGACGACGATGATGAAGATGAAAACGAAGATGACGACGATTATGAAGATGAAGACGAAGATGACGACGATGAAAATGATGATGATGATTATTATTATTTCTATTATTATCATGATCAATAATAATATCTCGATAGAAAAAGCGCGGTAATTTTATACGATCGGAGCATTCTGAAGACAATTTTAATAATAATAATAAAAATAATAAAAATAATAATAACAACAATAATAATAACAACAATGGTGACACTCACTAAACCATAACTAAATAATAATAACAATGCTACAAGTCCTGCCGCCAGTATTATTATTACTACTACTACTACTACTACTACTACTACTACTACTACTACTACTACTACTACTACTACTACTACTACTACTACTACTACTATTACTACTACTAATACTACTACTACTACTACTACTACTACTACTACTACTACTACTACTACTACTGCTGCTGCTGCTGCTGCTACTACTACTACTACTTCTACCACTACTACTACTATTTCTAATAATAATAATATTAATAATAATATTGATGATGATGATGACGAAACTATAAACATTATCAGACAAACATCATTTTAACGGTAACGTTAAAATTCTCATTGATAAACTTTTTTTCACAATTTTTCATGGATAATTTACGAAATAATTATTATTATTGTTGTTGCTGCTGTTATTATTATTGTTGTTGTTGTTGTTTTTGTTGTTATTGTTGTGGTTTCTTTTTGTTTCTCCCTATCTGATTCCGTGCCATCACGCACTCGTTTTGCTTGCTGAACCAAATACATTTGAACTTCGATAACGAAAGAAATAAAAAAAAACACAACAACAACAAAAACACAACAACAACAACAAAATAATAATAATAACAATTAAGAAAACGAAGAGAGAGAGAGAGAGAAAAGCAGTAAAAGGGAGAGAAAAAGATGAAAAGGAAAGAGAAGAGAGAGAGAGAGAGAGAGAGTAAAAATGAAATAGAAAAAGAAACACAAGCCCCAAAACAGAAAACTCTTGATTAAATCTCAATCAGATTAAATTCGAACGACGGAAACAAATTGATTGATGGCTGTACGGCATGGCTCATATCTAGACAGACACACAAGTGTCAGATGGTAGACATGTGTCTGTCTGTGTACGTGTTTGTATGCATGTGTGCATGTATGTATGTATGTATGTATAATAATAATAATAATAATAATAATAATAACAATAATAATAATAATAATAATAATATGACAACATTTTTTAATTCATTTGATAATTAACTCCACTATCATACCGGCAGCCATCAATCTTCTTTCGCTTGCAATAATTTAAAAATTATTATTTTTATTAATATTATTTTTATAGTTTTTATAATTGTTATTATTACTATTGTTATTTCTTACTATTTTTATTGTTATTATTTTGAGTATGCGTGTCGCATGTTGTTACCGTTGTTTACGTTTGTAAGAAATGCTATCTTAGCAGCCGAAGTTGTTGTTGTTGTAGTAAGAAAAAAAGTCGAGAAGATCCAAAAACACACCGTCAGCAACGATACCAAGCATTTATACAGTGCACTAAAAACTGCGTATCGACCCAAGCCCTCAGGCTTCGCTCCCCTACTCAATACAGACGGAACCAAGCTCTCGACTGAAAAGAAGCAAATTCATGAAAGATAAACCGAACACTTCAAGCTTGTCTTAAACCGTCCTGTCAAGATTAGCGATGACGCCATTGCTCGCTTGCCCCAGGCGACTTTGTCTACCAGGATCTTGACAGCGTTCCAACAAAAACTCGAAATCAGAAAGGCCTTAAGTCAACTTTCCAATGGCAAAGCTCTAGGACCGGATGAAATCTTTACTGAGGTGTCCAAAGTGGGAGGACCAGCCATGTTACAAAAAATGGCAGAACTATTTGAATCAATATGAACCGAAGAAAATATGCCACAACAGCTGAAAGAGACCAACATGGTTCACATCTACGAAAGAAAAGGTTACCGTCAGTCTTGGGATAGTCACCGAGTCATCTCCCTTCTGTCCATGGCTGAAAAAATACTAACTCGTGCTCTGCTAGACCGCCTCCTGCTTCATCTTGAGCAAAAATAATCTTCTGCCAGGGAAGTGGTACTGCTGACATGTTTTTCGCTGCCAGTCAGCTCCAAGGAAGATGCCTAAGACGGCAAAGCCATTCATATGAAAACATCAGCACACAATTATTATTATTATAACCGATTTTTATTTAATTTCTTTATTTCATATTTTCAAGAGATTAATATAAATTTTAAGCGTCGATTTAATATATGAACGAAAATAAAAAGCGTCAAAAATGAAATAACGTGTGTGTGTATGTGTGTGCGTATGTGTGTGTATTTGTGTGTGTGTATGTGTGTGTGTAGGTATGTGTATGTGTGTGCGTATGTGTACGTATATGATACACGTTTATATGCATACATATATAAATTTCGCACACGCAAACACACACATAAAAAGATTTTTTAAAACATTAAGATGTTAACATGTATGAACGTATACATATTATTACGTAGATGTAAATATAGTTTGTATATAGATATATGTCAAACTAGGTATGCAATTATAATGATAGTTAAGTCATAAAAGTAGCTCATAACATATAATGAATCAAAGCATATAATATTTTATATAATAAGAATGAAGTGACATAAAATAGAGACTGACTGGTTAGAAGGAGTTTGACAACTTGTTAAGTTCTAGGGAGCAAGATCTCCTGGTATATAAGTTTAGAGTAAGCACGTAAGTTTAGAGTTACCTTAGTTATCTCTTTAATACGCTTAAAGCTCTTGAACACTACTCAAACACTTTTACACATTATTACTTGCGTTTCTCATTATATTTTAATTTTCAGTTTAAAAATTTTCTTATTTGACTTCATTAAAATATATTTAGTTGCAATCAAACAATAACAGAATATATTAACAAAAATGGGTGAGTCGTTCCTCGCTCGATTTCCATTATTAAACTTTATAACATTTTAAACTAATACTCAACACACGTAAGTCGCAGTGAAGTCATCTCTCATTAATTTATGCACACAAACAATATCGAGTTTTTTAACGTTGTAGCGGGCAAGTAGTTTATACAGAA